CCATATCAGTCCACTAGATGACAGCACTGAGTGCAAAACATTTATAACAGTGCTTCTACGTTAGATAATGGTACTGTGGGGAGCCAACAGGCCAAAGGCACACATGAACAAAATAATATAAACCCATTTATAAAACACATAACAAGTCAGATTTCTGGACATCCAGGAGTTTCAGGAAGCTCTAAATACCGAAAAAAAAACAAAAAACAACTCAATACCCCAAATGCTCTCTAAAGGTTTTACTAACTTTTGACCAAATTACCAAAGTAAATTGGGAGCTACACTGTAGTGTAACTTTAACGTTTGAGCTGCGCTTAATTCTAGTTCCGCTCTGTTATTTTCTGACAGCATTTAGGAAACGTTATGATAAATAAGCTGTAGTGCTTAATACCATGATTACATGTAGTATTGAGTAACTGTTACATTCCAACTTGATACGTTTAATAAAATATAATGATTTGTTTGTACCGTTACAAGTAAAACATACAACTGCACTCAAATACGTTTTTCTATCTCTCTGTATTCGGCCACATGATTCCGACTCTGGCTGTAATCCTTAAAAACAAACCAATCTGTGCACTACCAACTGAACGCACCTTTCAGTAATTGACAACATAGTTTTTGTGATCAGTGTGATCACGCTGACCTGTGTCTCCCTCTCTAGTCTCACTCGTGTCACCTGATGCCCTGGGTATATACCAACTCCCTCATGCTATCTTTGTGGGATTATTATGTGTTGTTCAAGCCGTGTGCGTTGTGCCGTGTTTGGCGTTCATGCCTCGGAGCCTTGTGACCAAGTGAGTTTTTCTTGTTTTTGCTTTGCGTTAATAAACCCGCTGCACCTGCCTGCTTCCTGATATGTCTGCACACAACGCCTCCACGAATCACTTTTTACCTCAAGAAAACATAAATAAATTCAAAGTTGTCCACAAATGCCACCCCCCCCCCCCCCCCCCCCCCCCCCCCCCCCCCCGGCCGCTGCAGTCTTTTTCTAGATAACAGA